GTCCTTGGAGAAGGACACCATGCTTGGGAGGGTGGAGGGACAGCGCAGGAGGGGAAGGCCCTCTATGAGGTGGATTGATTTAGTGACTGGGATAATCAGGATGGGTGTGTCAGAGGCAATGCGATTGGCACAGGATAGAGCAGAGTTTAGGGCTGTTCTACATAGGGTCACTATGAGTTGCAAGCGACTCGACGGCACATAACAACAACAAAAACAACAACAGCAAGGTGTGTCTGATTCAGGCCATCGTGTTTCCAATCATTTGCTATGCCTAAAAGAGCTGGACAATGAATATGGATACAGAATTGATACCTTTGAGTTGTGGTGCTGGAGAAGGGCACTGAACATCCTATGGACTTCCAAAAAACAAAAATTACGTCTTAGAGAGAGTACAGCAATAGTGCTCTGTGGAGGCAAGGATGATGAGGCTTTACCTCACATACTTCATTCATGTTACTAGGGGAGGCTGGCTATTCCTTGAGGAGGAACATTATGCTTGGAAGGGTGGAGGATTGGCAAAAGAGAAGATACTTAATCTGGTGGGTTGGCATGGTGACTGCCACAGTGGGCTTTACTGTGTCAGGAAGTGTAAAGATGGCACAGTTATTATGTGTTGTTCAGTCGCTTCTGACTTAAAGCAACTCCTATGTACAACAGCTCTGAATCCTGCTCTAACTTGAGCTAACCTCACTGTCTCCAATATACCTACTCTCATTACCCTAGTTACTGCATCAATCCGTCTCATCGAGGGTCTTCCTCTCTTATGCCATCCCTCCACCCTCCCAAGCATGATATCCCTCTCCAAGAAATGGCCCTTCCTTGTAACATGCTCAAAGTATGTCAGACAGAGCTTCAGAATCCTTGCCTCCAAGGAGCAACCTGGTTTACCCTCTCCAGGACAGACCTGTTTGTTCTCCTAGCAGTCCATGGTATATTCAATACTTTTCTCCAGCACCACAACTCAGAGGCATCAAGTCTTCTTCTATCATCCTTAGTCATTGCCCATCTTTCTGATGTATAACAAATAATTGGCACACCTAGTCTCCAGACTAACATTGTTGCTCTTCAATACTCTGGAGAAGTCCCCGACAGCCAACTTTTCCAATGCAATTCGTCTTCTGATTTCCTGGCTACTGGTACCAAGAGTGTTGATTGTGGAGCCAAGCAAACTGAAGCTGTTAACTATCTCAATCTCTTCACCATCTATTATGATGCTGCCAATTTGCCTAGTGGTGAGAATCTCTTGGCTTTTTTTTTTTTTTATGTTGAGCTGTGCCATTGAGTTGCTTGTGACTCATAGCGACCCTATGTACAAGAACTCTAAATGCTGTTCTATCCTGTGCCAACCTAGCCATCTCAAATGCACTTATTCCCACTGTTCCAGTCACAGAATCGATCCATCTCATCGAAGGTCTTCCTCTCCTTCGCTGCCCCTCCACTCTGCCAAACATGATGCCCCTCTTTGCAATATTGGAATACAACTATTTTCTATACAATATTGTATCTTATTTTTTAAAAAGATATTTCAAATAGTAATGAGAGTGTTAGAATCTACCTGAACTTTCAATTATTATTAAGACTTCTTGCAATTGAGTTGGAACAAATGCGTAGCTGACCCTCTGTTGGGTTTCCTAGTGTGTAAATTGCATTCGAACGATTGCCCATCTTTTCCCCTTGGAACCATCGGTGGATTCAGACATCCAGCTTTTGGGTGAGCAGTGCAACTCCATATGGACTAGGCTACCAGAGCTCTCAGTTATTTTAAAGAATTATTAAAATAATTAATATTCATAAATAGTTACCAATAGGTGGTGCATATTTATTTAGCAGGAAAAAAAAATCAATCTTCGTTATTACATTAAAATTGCATACAAATGGAAAAACAAGGCAGTTGGGTGTTTTTTTTTTCCCCCGAAGCAAACTCTTAACTGTATTTTGTCTACAGAGAAGGCTTCCAAGGCAGAACTGAATCCAGAGCAGCGCCTTAACATCCAGCAGCCTGGTAAGACTCCCGCATCCCAAGAGACACTGCCACCCAAGAGTGACACGTGGAAATCGTCAAAGGTTCGTTAGTGTGTTTCCTGTTGTTGCTCTAACAAATAGTCTGAGACATAATGCCTGAGAACAGCACACAATTATTGTATTCTATTTCTGGTGATCGAAAGTCTGGTCTCACTAGGCTAAAATCAAAGCCTCAGTGGACCAGGGCTATGTTTAGAGGCGCTAAGGGAGAATCTCTTTGCTTGCGTCCCCTTTGTTCCTTGGCTTGTGACCCTTTTTCTTCATCTTATACCTGGCAATGTTGATCCTCTAGTGGGTTTTCAGGGAGCGCCAGGCCGCAGAGTCCCCTGACTGGTTTCCTGTACCTGAGGCAAGTTGGCAAGGTCAGGGATGCCCCAAGTCTGTTTCCTTCCCCAGTCCCAAAACTGTTTTATCTGATAGTGCCAGGGAGTCAAGGATTCTGAAGCCTCATCAGATATACTTTGGGCATGTTGCAAGGAGGGACCAGACCTTGGAGAAGACATCATATTTGGGAGAGTGAAGGGACAGCGCAGAAGAGGAAGACCCTTTATGAGATGGATCAATTCAATGATTGGGGTGGCGGGAGTAGGTGTGCCAGAGGCAGTGATGTTGGCACAGGATAGAGCGGGATTTAGGGCTCTTGTATATAGGGTTGCTATGAGTCGCAAGTGACTTGACAACATATAACAACAACAACAACAACAACAATGGGTTTTCAGAGACTAAATTGGCACAGGAAGAGATTGTCTATCCTTCCTATAGAGCAGCTAGTGAATTCGAACAGCTTGCCTTTGGGGCCTCCAGAGTTCCTTTCACATACTTTTGGGGACATAATTCAATCTATAATAGACTCTTCCTCACTGAGTAATGCATTAGAGATAGCTGAAAATCAATTTTCAAGCTTCAAGTAGATTTCCCCTACTAATACTTTTTAATAAAAAGTATTGAAAGTAAGAAATGCTCAAGGTGAGTATTTTAATCCTTACAAAATATATAACGTATGAAGTTCCTATCATATTTTCTTCCAATTCTTTTCTCTGAAGGTTAATAACTTTTACTAATATAATAATGGCTTATGCCTTTTTTATATATAGTCATATACAATTTTTAGAACAATAAAATTGAGATTTTTTTTCCTTTTGGGAGCTTGATTTTCCTATTTATCAGTAGACCATGGACAGTCTTCTATATTAGAACATTTAGAAATATTTATATGAGAAAGAGCTTGTTCTTCTTATTGGCTATGTGAGTAAGCCATCTTATGAACTTTCTATATAGTTTTTGACTAATAATGCACTTAGGTGGTTGACATTTTTTATTATTGCAGTTGATGCCTTAGTGAACGTTCTCTTATCTGATAGTTTGTCTAGTTACATGAGCATTTTAGTGGGATAAGTTTCTAAAGTAGAGTTACTAGATCAAGGATTGTATACATTTAAAATTGGGTGGTTGCTAACTACCTGTTTGTATTCTACAAGGTTTGTATCAATTTGACCTTCCACCAATGTTTATCAGCATCAGCTCTGGTCCTTGGTGTTCTTTTATTCTTTGCCCATTGCAAATGCAAGAAAGTAATATCTTAGAGTTGTTTTAATCAGTATTTCTTTGATTATTAGTAAGATTAAACTTTTTCTGTATATTACTAACTCTTGAGGATTTAGGTGACTTATCTATTTATAGTCTTCTTTTTTCCAATTTTATTATTGAGTTGGTTTTGTATTAAGTTTTTCAATGATTTTATGTAATTTAGAAATACATGTTGTTGTTGTTGTTGTTGTTGTTATAGGCTGTCGAGTCAACTACGACTCATAGCAATTATATGACCAATGACTCTGAACCTTGCTCTATCCTGAGACAATCTCACTGTCTCTGACACACCTGACCTCATTGCCACAGTCACTGTGTCAATCCATCTCATCCAGGGTCTTCCTCTTCTTCCACGCTTCCAAGCATGATGTCCTTCTCCAAGGACTGGTCACTTTTGACTACATACTCAAAGTAGGTGAGACAGAGTTTCAAAATCCTTGCCTCCAAGGAGCAACCTGGCTTCCCCCTCTCCAGGACAGATCTGTTTATTATCTTGGTGGTTCATAGTATGTTCGTACTTTTCTCTAGCACCACAACTCAAAGGCATCAGTTATTCTTTCTTCTATAATTCTTATTCATTGTCCAGCTTTTAGATGTATAGCAAGTGACTGAAAAGAACATGGCCTGTATCAGGCACACCTTAGTCTCCATACTGACTCTTCAGCACTCAGGAGAACCCCTTGGTGGCATATTTTTTAAAGTAAATTTTATTAATCTTAATGAATTAATCATTCATTCATTGTTGCACTATTTTCTCTACCCTCCCCCCCAGTTCATTCCCCCCCTTTTCTCCCCCTTGAAAGTCTGTTTTAATTGTCCCATTGCCACAGTGCTTGTCAAAGCCAGTTCTGATTAATCTCCTTTATCAGTGTGTCCTTTGCCATTCCCTATCACTCCTCCCTGAGAGAGACTTCACCCTGATTCATAAGGAAAAGGGAACGGTGTATTCTCTTAGCTAGTTCCTGCTGGAAAGGGACGCTGTAGGTTTCAGGGTGAAGATCGTCTCTCACTACTCTAAAGGGCCCATTTGGCAATAGGAAACATGTAGACTATTGTGGAGATTGATTTTGGAATTTAGATGCACTGTATCAATTGTGCTTAGCTGTATATGTATCCTTGAAGATGTATCATGGAACTAACTGTTGCAGCCTAGAAGACACAAATTTAACTAACAAGTCAAAAGTACATGAGTCAAAAATTAAAAACAATAATATTCCAAGTAGAGGTTCTAACAGTGGCACAAATCAAGTTACAGAGGGAAGATAGCTCTTAAAATAAAAGGTTTATTGACTAGCACTTTGTCTATTATAGTGTAGAGGTTAGGAACCACAAGATGTAGAGGCTCAACTATGTCATTTATTGTTCTTAAGTCCTGGACCAAATTCCATCTACCACAGGGTTGTTTTACAGCTTGGGAGTGCGCATGCAAGGCAGAGGTGAAGTAAGGAACTGCTTTTGAGGTTTTCCTTTAATTCCAACAACTAAGAAATAGTGAGAAGAGTTGGGACCTCAGAAGGCTTTTAGGTAGATTTTTTAAATGCAACTCGTCTTTTGATTTCCTGACTGCTGGTACCAATGGTGTTGTTGATTGTTGATCCAAGCAAGATAAAATTTTTTTAATAACCTCAGTCTTCTCCATCTATCATGATGGTGTGTATTGGCCTGGTGAGAAAGATTTTTGTTTTCTTGATGTTGAGATGAAGACTACAATCCTTGATCTTCTGCAGCAGACACTTCAAGTCCTCCTCAGTTTCAGTGAGCAAGATTGTGTCATCTATATGCAGAAAAGGTTTCTGTTCTATGTGTTGTTTTGGTGAGTAGCATCAGGTGTCTTAAAAGCTTTCTGGTGGTCTTCTAACATACAACTACTGGTTGCTATTTGTCTGGTACAAAAGAGAAAAAAGAAAATCAGAAACTCTAAGAAGAAACTATTCTATAAAACTAGTAATCCTCTGGAACCACATTTTCATCTATCTTGAGGACAAAAGAACTAGGTGGTGCCAGATGTATACAGCCACTAATGACTACTCTGACTGGGAACAGACTAGATGGCCTTGGATAGGATGGAAGAAAAATGTGCAACATTTTTAAAGAGGCCAAACTTATTGGACCAATAGAGACTGGAGGAAACTCCAAAACAATCTGAGATATCCTTTATACTTGGACTTGAAACCACTCCTGAAGGTCATTTTTTGAGCAAAATAACAAATAGACTCATAAACACCACTAGTGAGTACTCAATCCCTTTTAAAACACCATCTGTGTGAGAATTAGTGGTCAACATTTACCCTAGAGCAAAGGTGAGACTGTAAAGGGGTAGACTGGGTGAGCAGGGAGCTATATTAATGGAAATGGAACAGCCAATATGGAAAGCATGAGAATGCTGACACACTATGAAAATTGTAAACCAGTGTCGTCAAGCAGTATATACAGAAATTGTTAAATGGTAATCCAATTTTCTGTGTAAGCTTTCACCAGAAACATAACAAAATATTATAAAAGACATTCTTAGATCTTTATGAACTCTAGAATTTTACCATGTAGTGTAAAATGGAGATTTTTGACTCTTGTTCATGTTGTTGTTATATGCCGTTGAGTCACTTGGACTCATAGTGACCCTATCTATGTACAACAACTGTGAACCCTGCTCTATCCTGAGCCAACCTTATCATCTCTGACACACCTACCCCCATTTCCCTAGTTAGTGAATCAATCCGTCTCATTGAGGGTCTTCTTCTCTTGCATCATCCCTCCACCCTCCCCAGCATGATGTCCCTCTCCAAGGACTATTTACTCATTGCAACATACCCAGAGTATATCAGACAGAGCTTCAGAATCCTTGCCTCCAAGGAGCAACCTGATTTCACCCTCTCCAGGATGAACCTGTATATTTTCCTAGCGATCCATGGTATATTCAATACTCTTTTCCAGCACCAAAGCCCAAAGACAACAATTTTCCCTCTATAATTCCTAGTAATTGTCCATCTTTCTGATACATAGCAAGTAATTGTGAGGACCATGGCCTCGATCCAGCACATCTTAGTCTCCAGATTGACACTGTTGCTCTTCAGTTCCCTGACAGCAGATTTTCCAAATACAATTCATCTTTTGATTTCCTCACTGCTGATACCAAGAGTATGGTTGTGGAGCCAAGCCAACTGAAGCCCTTAACTATCTCAATCTCTTCTCTATCATGATGCAGCCACTTGGCCCAATGGTGAGAACAATGGGAACAAATATGGATCTCTTTCAGTCAGATGGTCAAGAGGTTGTCCTCCAGATTTCTTGGCACAACTTGGTGAGCATGTCCAGGGAAGCATCTCTTTGTTGAAATAGGTCCGTTGGTATGTCGTCAGTTCCTGGGGCTTTGTTTTTTGCCAGTTCCTTCAGAGCAGCTTGAACTTCTTCCATCATCTTCACAGACTCTTGCTTATATGTTGTTTCATGAAATTCTT